TTTTAATTTATTCGAAATTTATATTACAAAACTGATACATCATTATAAGGATATTCGGCATGCATTTTCAAAGTTTACTATTTGACCAGTTGTTACGTTTTCATAATTAATTTATAAATAATAATTAACCCATTTTTAATACTCTTGGTAGAACAACTGATGGCATTTTAAGAAACTTATTTTACTCGCTCCTCGAACCATAGAAGGAAATAAAAATTGATTCAAACGAGAAGTCCGTTTATATACATACACCTTCAGATGCGTTTCCTTACTTGGTTAACGAGAAATAAAGTAAACACATGTAACTTTTGGCCTGGCCTCTCATAAGTTCACTTCCTTTCTCATTTCTTACGTAACCCAACTTTATACGAAGACCGCCTGATAAAAATGTCAGTTAATCGCTTGGTTATATATATATGGTTAATCGTGCCTTCCAAATTAAACGGTAACGCGTACCAGGACTGTCGGCAGATTATTCGGCTGAGTAATCCTCGGAGTTATCCTTTATGAAAATACACGGGCCACTATTTTTCAGTTTAGGAAATATTAAATTATTAAAAAATTCAAGGATCGCATTCTGAATTTATAAAGGAGATGCACTCAATTACCAAATTAGGCCGCGAGCTATCCCGTAGTCGGTGCCTATGGTCTTTTCATGAAGCTTTACTTAAATTGAATCCAAAAACCAATAGAGAAGACAACTTTTTGAGGTATCAAAGCTAAAAACAACGCGAGAATTAATTACAAAAAATATAAAGCTGAATCTTATTATAATAAATTTAAACAGCTAAGAAGGCATATAAAACAACAAATTCAAGTTTCATATGCTGCATATGTACAAAGCACTGAAGATGCCATCAATAATGATCCCGCAAAATTTTGGTCATTTGTATATATATCAGGAAGCATGTCTTTGGAATCTGAAGTATTTGAGTGTCTTCTTACACTCCAACCCTTTTTATATTGCATCAGAACCTGTCGACATTAATAGCACGCATATATCGCTTAATAGAATATCTGAACTTGACGTACTTAAGGCATCCAAAAAATTAAAAAATAAAATGACTTCTGATTGTGATAACATTCCTAGCTTCCTCGACAAAGATTGTATACATGTTCTAGTTAAACCACTGGTGGTTATCGACAATATGATATTAAAATCTAACTCATACCCTGAAGTATGGAAATTAACAAAAATATGTCCAACATTTAAAAACGGCGATTCAACTGTTATCTCGAACTACAGGCCCATATCAATTTTATGTAATTTTAGTAAGTTTTTTGAAATTATCCTGTATGACATTATCTATACTTCAGTCAGTGAATAACAGCACGGCTTTATGTAAAAAAATTCTACTGTTACAAATCTAGTTTGCTTTACACAATATACTTCTGAGATTCTTGACTCAGGTAGATGCAATTTACACGCATTTTCAAAAAGCATTTGATAAAATTGACCACTTTTTACTATTGTCGAAGTTGCGAGGCTATCATGGCTATTACTTCAGCTGCTTAAAAATTACTTAGTTGGGTCTCATCCATATGTAGCTACTTCAGGTGTTCCCCAAGAATCAAATTTAGGACCGTTATTATTTTTAATATTCATAAATGATCTATCTTCGAAATTAGACTGCCCTCATCTCATGTTTGCCGACGACCTAAAACTTTACTGTAAAATTAGTGGCCCAGGATGACTTTTGTCCGGTTCGATTATCTTGCATGATTTAGAAGTTATAGCATGGGTAAAACAATTTGGGACACCCTGTATACAGTTCATTGGTTCATGTATACACACGGTGAAGTTATTTCACGCTCGCAACTCTGCAAGCCGAAGAATCCTCCCGTGTTTGGTTAAATTAGACGAATTTGACGTCCTAACCTATCCAAAATTTATAATTTTGAATGTAAATGGGCCATCTCCTTATTCGGCGATATAATATGGCAGTATTGGCGAGTTTGGTCTGATCTTTATTTACAATTTCGCCGTTCAGTCGCACGCCCGTTCAAGCCGGTCAACCGAAACGAACAGACGCTACGAAAAATACCAATATATACCAAATATACAAAATTAAATTCAAACAAAAGTTTCATTCAAATTAACTGACTGCGAAAGCATAATAACTCAAAACAGGCTAATGATACCAATCTGGTAAGGAGTAGACTCAATTCACAACGACGGTAAACATCTAACAGGATCAATGGACAGAACACCAGCCAGAATCTAGTATAGATTCCAAAGAAGAGGATATGTATTTGTATAATATGTATTTTCTTCTTATATATTGAATTTGTAGATGTGAATTGTAAACAGAAATGTAAATAGACTTTTAAAACAACAACAAAAACGAAAAATACCAGAAAGTTCTGGCGTAAACGAATTCATGGGGAAGGACCATCTTGGTGCATCTCGAAGTCTGCGAAACAGGACTGGATTTGTCTAAAGCGTAACATTTTTGTATATAAATCGATTTTTTTACCGCTTGAGTTTAGTTTAGAGATAAATATTGTCGATAAAGATAAATGTTAAAGTAAATATAAATCAGTGTAGTTTTGATTAGAAATAAATTAGTTATACAATAAGTTGGTGTATTTAGTAAACGTAAATAAGATTAATTATACTGTTTATAATAAATAAGTAAACATAACAATATGTTGTTGTATATTTTTGTTTACCTATATTGTTTTTTTAAGAAGTTGGTATGACTGAAAAGTCATTTGATGGAGAGAGAAGAGAGCGAACATCGGAAACGTGAGAAGTCGAGGTGGAGTCCATAAAAACTATTTTTTTAACGTTATTGTTATATTTCTTTGTGTTAATACATATCTAGTTTATATTTGAAGTGCCGTATTCTCTAATTATCACCCTTAATGGCCTTACCCTAAAGCATCTTGACGAGAACCTAAGTTTGGCTAAAGCCCCGAAGAGAAATAAAAAGCCAACAATGTAGTGCTCTTTAAATAAAAACTGTGACCGATATTACCAAGGATCTTTTATTTATTTGTATACAATTTTTATTGATCTTACCAAAGAGTGCGACTAGTTGCGGCTCATAAAGTCATCTTCAGGCAATTGTTTTTGGATAATCATTATGAGAAAAGATTGTTAAATTGTGTTTTCAGAAAAAAAAATAAGTTTCACTTTATTTACCTCGCCTGTCAACTTTGGCATTTTAACCAATCACCAAAATAGTCGACTGTATATCAAGCCCAACCAGCACACTTCTCTTATAACCTTTGAATTATAGAACATTCAATTCTTATAAAGGTTTTATAGTTGTTTCAAAAATTCAATATTGACTTATAAATATTGCAAATGATGCTATTTAGCTGTTGAAAACAAAATAACACTATAATATTGTTATATAAATATTCTTACAGCATATTTATTATATGTAATAAATTTTTCTACTCAGTATTTCTTAAGAACAGCTATAAGTCGTATCTACAACACCAATTTCCTTTTTGAGGCTTTTTGATTTATAACGGTTTTATATTTGTCTTTAGTAACATTTTAAAGGTAAGTATAAATATAAAAACGTGCAAATTTATAACGCTTGCTGTTTGATATAACAGTAAGATACATTGGTTATATATTCAACACTTATAAGGGAAGTCGCCTAATTTTCTTGTTAATGCAATTTTTGCAACATGTATAAAGCAAAATTGTTTCAACAAACATAAAATACTCTCATTACAGCTACAAAGAACTATATTTAAGAGAGCAAACAGCAATTACAAAGTATCCTTTAAATGTCTTTATTACTGCTGTATTAGTAACACTTAAAAAACATCAACGAGGTAAAATGCTCTCAAAGAACACAAAAATAATCCTGCCGCTGGTTTAATACAACCAATTTGAAACATTTAATTATTTCTATTTTAAAACGTTTTTGGTTTTTTTTTTATGTTTGAGTTAACAAAATGGACATCTCACGCTGGAAAAAGATTTAAAAAAGCGGCGCATTTCGAAGAAAAGTGTTAAAAAATCAAAAAAATGCAAATAAACACATGGAAATTCCAACTATCCTGGTTCAATATTTTTATAAACTTTATAATTTGGCAAAATGCGTCTAAGTTATTTTGTATTTGATTCGTCGTGGTTTATTCCTCTAGAGCAGCGTTACTCAAAGTGTGGTCCGCGGAGCCCCAGGGCTCCGCAAAGCCTTTGTGGGGCTCCGCGAAGAAAATATTAGTCATAATAAAAAAAAGCAGTACTATCGCTACAAAAGGGAGGGACTTGGCTTAAGGACTTTTTTTTTAATTAGAAGTCAGTAAGAGGAAGGAGGATATGATTTTGTTCGGAGGACCTTTTATTTTCTTTAGAAGTCACCAAGAGGAAGGAGGATGATATGATTTTGTTCGAAGGACCTTTTTTTAGAAGTCACCAAGACGAAGGAGAATATGATTTTGATTTTTTGTGGAGGTTCCGCGAACAAGGGGGAGGGACCTGGCCCGAGGCTTGTTCTTTTTTAGAGTCACTAAAAGGATGGACGATATGGACTCAATAAAAAATAAAAATTTATTAAAGGGGGATAAAATTACTTATAAATCTTATTGCTTTTTAAAGGTTCCGAATAAAGGTTTCATATAAATGTAGCGTCAAAGTGTTTACGGTTCCAAATTGGTTGCAAATTCAGTAACTATAAATTTTTCTTTAAAATACTATTTGAGATTGCTTTATTAAACTCTTGTAAGTATCTACAAATAAGATTTATTATATTTTGCGGCACATTAATAAAGCATTTATAAGGGAACTAAAAAACTTTTTTGATTTATAATTTGGTGTCCAATTTAAGCTCATAAGAGTTGTATAAAGCCTGTAAGAACATATAGAAGTAAAATTATAAATCTTATTCTCTCATAAACATTTGCTTTAAGAATATTCTTATAAACCCGTCATGTGCTACTCAGGAGGTGTCGTTATATGTATTATCCTTGATTATACCAAGTAGGCTAATATTTTTATTTTATACAATAAATTGAAAATTAAAGCACCTTACCTTTAGCGTGACACTTTCGCCGGACGCCTTGATGAGATCAATGATATCCTCTCTCGTTCTACCCTCCACGGGCGTACCGTTTACTTCCAATAATTTATCTCCCGGTAACAAACCCGTTTCGTTGTGATGTTGCACTATGGCGCCCGGTTCCGCGAATATCACGGCGCGCATGCTCACTTCCGAATCACAGTTTCCGTTATTCGCGCCGCACCTTTCGAGCACCATCGCGCGTCGCAACGAAAACCCGAAATCGTTCCGAGGCGGTTTTTGTCTTTGAATCGTCAAAATTCGCGGTTTCGGAAGAACGAGCGGTATTATGTCCGGTAGAGGTAGATTCACGTCGTCGAAGTTTGCCGTTCTGGACCATCTGCAAAGAAAAGAAAACCAACTTGATACGTTTAACACACAGGGATGATCATCTAAAGTTAAAATTCTTTGAGAGAAATTTAATTGATTAAATACAACTTCATCTGCATTTAAATATTTACGAAACAGAAGCCGGTCCTGTGGCATACCAAGAATTTAAACTTTGTTAATTATATCCACTTTTTGAAAAACATCTAACTACACAGTCAAATTCAATTTAAGGTAAGGATACCAGTAATTAAAAATGGTCTAAAAGTCGACACCTCAATTTTATACTACCATAAACACTTGGCATTATTGTTAGTACCTACCAGTGGCCCATTGAGTGTTGCATATTCCAGTCTTATTTTGTTAATGACAGAGAGGTAACATCGAAAGTGAGTGCATCAGGTGCCATTTTGTGCAAAGTTAGTTAGGACATGTTTATAAAGCCGGCTACTCACTACGCGTTACTTGCCAAGTACTTTGCAAGTACCATGTAATGTGTATGGAGACTTGTATAGACTCCGACTAAAGTGTTTCGCTACCCTAAATTGCTACTTTAGAAGGCCCGTGTAATGTAGACGATTTACTTGTACTCGAACAAGTACTTGCCAAGTTCAGTCCAAGTCAAGTAACTCGGCAAGTAACGCGTAGTGAGTAGCCGGCTTAATAAGAAAAAATCGGCTTATCAACTTTTGGAACAGAAAAATCATCTAGTTCTAGGCTTAAGGAAATTTAAATAATATTAAATGGGTTAGTAGTATCCTTCATAGTTGGTAGGTATGTCAAATATTTTATGACATTCTGCCTACTACTTGTTTGAAACGAATATTTCAAGTGGATCTGAAGCCCGACATGGCATGTCCACTTTTGGAGAATGGCATGTCGAGTAGGGTTCCAAGAATAACGTTAATGGGCAAGCATGAAGGGCAATAACCAATTTGTAGAAAAATGGGACCATCAAGCAAAATTTCTTCTGAACATGAATTGATTCTTGTTAGCTGGGTTAAATCTCTAGCTCTTGCAGGTTTCCCTTTGACAAATGAAATCTTCATGGAAAGTTTCTAAACTAGCTTTAGAATTAAGGATCACCTTTAATGGAAATACCAAACCCGGAGAAAAAATGGTTAAGCCTTTTTTTAAAACGCCACCAAGATATTAAATTTCGAACTGGTCAAAATTTAACTTCTCAAAGAAGAGTTGTTACACAAGAGAATATCAATGGTTTGAGGAAATTGCGAGATATTTAAAGCAGAAGAAAATAGAAAATGTCATAAAAAATCCAAATTGTGTGTTTAACTAAGATGAAACAGCATTCTTTTTAAATCCAAAACCGGGCAAAACTGGCTCCCAAAGGATGTAAAACTGTTTATAATGCTGCTGGTAATGATGAAAAATTCAATATAACAACTTTAATTACAGCCGACTCTAGAGTCACGAGTAGCACCAGAGACTCTGTTAAACAATGCACCTTCTTGTTCTACTAGTACTGAACTGCACCATCTCAAAACTACCCCTTTAGTGAAGGGATTTACTGATCATAAAGAATACATTCCTTCCCCTTTTCAAAAAGTTTTGTTTTGGAAGGAAGACAGCCCAATTGAAGTTAAGAAAAAAAGAAAAGAAAAATTACCAGTCATTGCTTCTTCTCCACAAATGTTGTTGAATAGCAAACAGGAGATAGAAAGACAAAAAAGGAAGAACGGAAATTAGTTAGAGTACAGAAAAAAAGTAATATGGAACAAAAAAGGCAGAATTTAAGCAAAAGACCAAAAAGGCTACAAATACAAAGAAAAGATGTCTCTCGTATTCTTCAAGTTCTTCAAATGATTCTTCTACTCGGTTTTCTCTTCAAGAATCTCACATGTCAGAAACATTAGAGAGTGAAGATGAAGAGGATGTATTAATTGCCAATAACACGAGTTATAATGAATTAAAGGCGATTATATTTTTACTCAATTTAAGAGTGGCAAACGAAATTCGTCGGAGTTTAAATTTGTGAGTATTGTTCAAACATTAATTTCATCTGAAAATATTGTTGTTATGGGTTGTAAATGCATTGATAACACTCACAAAGAATTTATAGCAATTGAAAAGGACTTTAGCGAAATAAATTTTTGTCAATTGTTAAAAAAATTAGAGCAGCCTGAATTAGTGTTGAAGGGTGAAAGGGTTAGCTATAGGTTTAAGAAATCCATTGGTGTAACTTCTTAATTAATGAATAAATTAATTAATCCGAAATATTTGTTTCATTAACGTCAATAAGTAGGATGTCAAATATCGGAGCAAATCATGTCAACTACTAGAACTAGTTAATCTGCACCTGTTAACCTTTGAAGCAAATACATGAAGTCAAAAAGAAAATTACCAAAAGAAAATTAAAACAATCTTTTATTTTAATATGAATGTTTACCTAGACAACACTTAAGGTGTTCTATCTGAAGTTGATAACAAAATATAGAGGCAAATTTATGACATTAATTGTAAATTTACCATTATATTTTTCTTGGACCTTTTTCTATAAGCTCGACAGAAGGACATGGTTTATCAAATTACTTATTTATAATACAATACTCTATAGGTCATATACCCAATTACAGAGCAGGGATTGACAGAATATAATTATTAATAAATCACAGATTTTTTTATATTAATGTTATTTCAAATTGATATAATTTTTCCTTTTTGAGTTGATTTTTTTTAATATTTCATATTCCAAGTCATTGTGTTTTTTAAACCAGCGTCTTTTACTTTCCAATAACCAAGTCGTTCCAGAAAAAAAATAAATACGATTTATTCCTGAATTAAAATACAGAGTGAAATCACTCATCAAAAGTTTAATATTGAACTGCCAGCCATCTCTCAAATTCCTGGCAGACCTCTGAGGATATGAAGGCTGATTGGGAAACAAGGAGTACGTTTTATGTTATTATGCAGAAGCATAATTATATAAAATGCAGACAGATATGTAACACCATAAGTTTTCGTTGGAACTTCCTGAACTTTACAGAATTTAAATAAGTTAGAAAATGCTAAAGAGTAAAACAAAACTTAGATAAAACAGGAATGGCGCTTCGGAATACAATATCCGGAACCCACATAAACCACGTGAATTTGAAAAAAAAACCGGAATACAAATGAAAGGCTTAAAGGGGGGTTGAATTATTAACAAAATAAGTCAAAAACAAAAAATTATATCAATTTGAAATTTTTGGCAAAAATCAAGCTCTATAAGAGTAAGAAGCACTTTGATTTTGAAAAAAAATCTGATTAAAAATGGGGGAATAAGGTGGGTTGAAAAATTAAAAAAAAATCTTAACTCAAAAATAAAAAATTAATGACATTAAGTACTTTGAATTTTTTATCAAAAAACTAGCTCTATTAAGGGGACAAAGCCTATTGATCTTGAACAAATATGATTAAAAATATGAGGTTGAGGGGGGGTGAAAAACTTAAATAAAAAACGAAAAAGATATCAACATGAAATTTTCAAGAAAAATCAAGCTTTATGAGATGATAAAGCCTATTCTGAAAAAATCTAATTAAAAATGGGGGTTAAAGTGTGAAGAGGAATGCTTATCTCTTAATATTATTTGGCGATATGGAAACAATACAACACAAAAAAATGTGTTTAAAACACCTACATAATATCGTGTCTTGAAGTAATTCTTGAAGTCATTCTTTTTTTTATTTCTAAATATTCAAATGCTGAAATTTTATTTTAAAACACGTTTGGGCCAGAACGTTTTTATTCAGTAAACACTTGGAAATGCGCTTTTCGTAGTCCTATTTAAATATGAGTGAGCAATCTCTATAACGATATATATCATTGGTCATATTGCGGAAATCGCGCCGTGTTACGACGTTAAATAGCTATCGAGGATCGGAACGCATTTTTAATGAATATATAGCGTTAATGAGTCTATAAATATTTAACGATCGTTCTTGTAATCGGCTGTAAATGAAGCAAATATTCTGTTAATGTCTAAATTGTTTTTGTTTGTCACTTTATTCCATCATCTAGAACCATGCTTGGAGAAACGTTTACATTTTTGGTAGATAAAAACACTAATTAATCTTCAAAAATAAAATAATTTCCTTACCTGTGAAACCCCTGTGATTCGCCCACGGGACTCAAAGAAAACGGAGGTGTAGCAAACGAAGAATTCGTTGTATCTGTCAAGCTATCAGCGCTGGGTGAAGTAGAAGTAATGACTAACAATTGCGAACCCATATTCTTGCCATTAACGCCATTATGATTGGGTAAATTTTGATAAGTGATTAGTTCGTTTTGGAGTGTATTCCTGACCAGACTGGAATGATTATCGGTGGAATCGTAACCATTAATTTCTTCCTCTTCTTCTTCATTGTTGTCGAGCGTTATGCTAACCTTTGGCGTTTTAAGTATTCCCCTTTTGGGAGGCTTTGGAGGTAATGGAGGTACGTTTTTGTGATTTTGGAGTGAATTGAGGCTGGTTTCGGAACTGTCTGATTGCGTGTATCCATCGTTGTGTAGATGATGGCCGGACTGATGCGGTGATCCTGGATGCGGGTATAAAGGTGAGTCGGTGCGTTCTAGACTTGCTAGGAAGTCAGCGGTGTAGTCTGCTGTTATACCGGAAGGAAGTTTTTCTTTGTCCTTTCGACGGCCTCTGATTTTTAATGATCGTCTCACCTGTAAAATACAAATAAAATACGTGTGATGAACAAGCAGTACACAACGTTCTTCTAAATTACAATATTAATAAAAATTATTTAAAGCTGTTTAGATTAGGTAAATTTACTGTTAATAAAATAAATTAGTAAATATACCAGGAATTAAAATTACATCTGACCAAACTAAGGCGCAACAGCAATATTTTAAGAAAATTAAGTCTACACTAGATGATCTTATTACTCAGGGTGATAATACAAAAACGATAAAGTTTATTAATAATACCCCCACTATTGTTAATAAAGACAAAAAAACTAACGAAGGACCCTGTACCAATTTGAAGCAATGTGTTATACATTTTTGGAATCAGCTTAGCAAGGGAAATGCGGAACATGAAAAAAAGGGGGTTCCGTTTAAAAAAAGGGTGATGACGTCATTAGACGAAGATGGGTCACCATGTATACTACATTATAATTTAACAAAATAGTAAATTAAAATAAAAAATCGACCTGTTTCGGGAATTTCTAATATTATTGATTATTTAGATAATAATGAATTTATGCGTTACTTTATGGACGCACTGTATTTAATTGAGTGTGATTGACGTGCCTTTACGCGCCATCAGCCAAAATTTGCAAACGTCTATTACATTCACTATCGCTTACAGGAAAATCATTAATAACGATCTCTTTCTAATACAATAGCTTACGTAACCAAATATTTCACCGAGAAAGTTACAAATATAATGCAAAAAAATGCTCTCTATATATACAGGCGTTTAATAAAATGGTAACAACAGTCTCTAGGGGTTTTTGTTAAGCTTTTAAATATGCTATACGTCCGTGATATTTGATTTTTATTTTGAATTTACATTATGATAAATTTCCGAATGCACAAAATATTATCAAGACATTTGATCGCTTGTTCGTGATATGAGAAATCAAATATCAAATACGTTTAATTTTATAGTTTGCGTTGTGTGCTAGCAACAACGAGATTGTTTTAAAATTTGTTGAAGTCTAGTTTCATTCAGTAATATCTATAAAAGAGATTTTTAACTATACTTCTATACCTACTAATTTTTATTTTTTGACCAAAATATATGTTTATACAGGGTGTCTAGAAACGCTCTTCAAAGAATGAAACCACGAAATCTAGAGCTGATTTTATGACGATTTAGCCTGAATTATCTCTGTCCAAAAATACTTCCTAAGGGAGCTACAGCTCTTTGAAGATAGCGCTCTAAAATCGGTTTAATTGAAATACCTTCAAAACGGATTTTTATTAAATGATATTATTCTGTACATTTATTTATTTGAATCTAATTGGCTCGATTGGATGGGGTATTTTCAATCGTTATGAAATTGGACTTCCATCGAAAAAAGAAGAACTAATCTTTCCTGAAAGCAGAAATGTAGCCTTTAACAGATTAAAGTGTATGGAAAGGAAAATGGACCAAGATGATGAATTTGCTAAGGAATACTGTGACAAAATACCAGATTATTTAAATAAAGGCTATGCAGAAGTTGAGAATAATAGCGGAAAGTTATGGTATCTACCACATTTTGGTGTAAGAAATCCAAATAAACCTGGTAAACTTAGATTTGTTTTTGATGCAGCTGCCAAAGTTTGTGGCAAGAGTCTGAATGATTACTTACTTACTGGTCCTGATTTTTATCCCTCTCTAGTGGCCATTCTATATAGATTTCGAGAATGTGGCGACATTAGAGAAATGTTTCACCAGGTATATATCAGAACTCATAGAGTATACCCAGAGAATATAGAGCAGAAAGAAAAATGTTTAATATGGACTCTAAGAAACTTGAAAGAATTCTAGGACTCTTTTGGAATATAGAAAAAGATATTTTTGTATTTCAATTTAAATTTTCGAAAATTCCATCTGATTTATTAGCTGGCACAAAGGTACCAACAAAAAGAGAGATTCTCCGAATTGTAATGACCCTCTTTGACCCCATTGAGTTTCTCTCACCTTTAGTAATCACCGGAAGGCTTATAATGCAACAGTGTTGGAAGGAATCAATTGAATGGGACCAAAAGGTTTCGGAAGATATCTTAAACAAATGGAGGAGTGGCTTGAAAATCTAAAAAAACTTGGATGCTTTAAAATTCCTCGTCAATACTTTCCTTATGCAAAATATATAGAAAATGTCCAATTACACGTATTTTGTATAAAAAATGAATTTGAGGTCTTCTTTGTTGCATCTAAATGTTAATTCGGTCCCATAAATAAGAAACTGACAGGGGGCAGTAATGGCTGCAAGGTTAGGAAATCTAGTACAAAAGGAGACTAATTATACAATTTCCGAGACTTTCTAGTGGCCGATTCACAAATTGTTCTATGCTGGACGAGGTCTAGCTCCAGTAGATTAAAGATATTTGAAGGTCACCGTATTCAAAAAATCGTAGAAACAAATGTGAACAATTGGAAATGGGTTCTTTCTCATCTCTGAATTCTGCTGACCTCGCTACTAAGCCTTTATATGAACCTGATCTTAACACTAACTCCTTTTGGTTTCAAGGTCCAGGATTTTTGAAACAATGTGAAGAGTTCTGGCCACAAGCTGAACAAAATAGAGAAAATCTGCTAATCATTGAAGAGGGCAAGGAAAGTATACAAAAATTAAATTCTCTTCTAAACGTCGAAAGATTTTCAAAATGGTTGAGGTTATTAAGATGCACGGCATGGATAATAAGATATATAGGGAATTGAAGAACGAGAAATAAGCGAACCGGAGAATTAACGGTCAATGAAATTCAGAATGCCGAAATTCTATGGTGGAGGAGGAGGAGGAGGAGGAGAAAAAACATTTTACAAGAGATATTAAAGTCATTAGGTACAAGTTCAAAAATAAGACAGTTATCTTTATAGATAAAAATGGTTTGCTAAGAATGGACAGTAGAATTAAGTTCGCTAAATTAGAATATGATTTAAAATTTCCAATTATTTTATCATCAGTGAAGGAGAATGAAGCAGTAAGACTTTTAGTACAATACTATCATGAGAAAGTAGAACATATTGGTCATGAAACAGTTCTTAATAACTTAAAACAAAAATTTTGGATAATAACAATCAGTAAAATTTGTTATTCATAATTGTCAACACTGTAAAATGTATAAAGCAAAATCTCTTCAGCCAGAAATGTCCCCATTGCCTGAATATAGATTAAAAAGTTTCTGTAGACCATTACTTACTGCAGGTTGGATTATTTTGGACTATTATTGGTTAAGGTGAAAAGAAGTAAAGAAAAGAGATATGGAGCACTATTTACTTGTTTAAATACAAGAGCAATTCACATTGAAATAGCGAACTCCCTAAATACCGATTCTACACTAATGGCAATTAGGCGATTTGTTGCACGAAGAGGACAACCTATAGCGATGCATTTCCGATAATGGAACAAATTTTGTAGGGGCATAAAATGAAATGAAAAAATATATAAAAAATTTGGATCACAACAAACTAACCGCAGAGGCAAGTACAAAAAACAGCATGAAGGGCATTTTCAACACTCCTAGAGCTGCACATACTGTAGGAGTTTGGGAAAGAATAGTAAGGTCGGTGAAAGAAGTATTTTATAAATTTTTGAGAGAACAAAACCCAACTGAAGAAATTTTAATTGAAGCAGAAAAAAATATAAATTGTAGACCAATTAGCTATGTCTCCTGCAATGAAAATGATGTAGAAGCGTTAACTATTTTTAATAAAGAAGATCTATTTGGAAGAAAACAATGGAAAATTGCTCAAATTATGGCAGAACAATTTTGGAAAAAAATGGACGGAGCAATATCTCCCTTATTGCAAAAACGTCAAAAATGGTTCCACAAAGCCATATCTCTGAAAATTGACGATGTGGTAGCTATTCCGGATATAAACATTCGGAACAAATGGAAAATGGGCATTACTAAAACATTTAAGTGCAGAGATGGGAAATAGGAAGTGTAGAAATAAGGACCTCTGATTCTACCTTCGTTCGAGCAGTGAATGGTATACTTTGGCCCTTACGATAATCTGGCAAAAAGGTATCGATGTTCCTCTCGTTTTCTTTCTTTTGAAAAATAAAAATACAGTGTCATATAAATTAGCTTTACAATATTTAAAAGAAATATACCTATCTATAACACATCATGGCTTTTTTCCAAAAACTATAACTTCAGATTTTGAATTAGCAATACACAAAGGAATTCGCGAAATTTCACCTAGGTTAAAGTTGGTAGAGAAAAATTCAAACTTTAGGACTTTCCAGTTAAAAGATAATTTAGAAACAGATATAACTAAATACCTTACTTATATTTTTGTTTTACCATTCTTTAAAGCAGAAGACGTTGGTGATTGCTTTGTTCTTGATCTCGTTGCAATTCAACCAAATGATGAGAGGGTTTCAAAGTATTGATACTGATATTTAAAAAAAATTGGCAAATATCTGGAAGGATTGCGAACTTTTCAAAATTGGCCTGAAAGATTTCTTCAATGGCTATTATAAATTTGACGAAATCATTGAGGATTTTTTAAATTTCCAAATAAATCTTTAGAACGGTTTCCATACGCCCTTAAAAATATATAAATTGACGAGTCGTCCAATTCCTGATTTGACTTGGAATATTCTAAACACACTGTACAATTATGAATTGCTGTGCATTTATTTAACAAATAACCGCAGACATATCTGATAAAATTTTTTGATAAATCATCATTTTTTTGATAGTCTGTGGTTATTTTATGTTCTAAAATTTGATGTTCTTCAGCGGGAGCTGATTGTTCTCTTGCGACATCCTTTAAAGTCAAAAGAACCGTATTTAAGTCGGCCTTGCAGTTTTCTGTTCCAGAATGCAACAAATTTGAACACAACATTTTTTGAATGTTCTGTGGAATTGAATAGGGGTTGGATTTGTACAATTTCCATTAGACGAGCGAATTTGTCCAAACAAATCGTCTTGGTTTAACCTTCTCGTATAAAGATACTCATATTTCCCTTCTGTATTGAGATTATTCCATAAAAATAACAAAGTTTTGATTGAAATTTGAATACATTTAAAACATTTTATTTTTCCGGTTATATTTACATTATTTCGGTCGAAAACCTGCACCCTTTCAAAAAAGTCCAGACAATCTGTTAAAAACGTTACTTGTAAATTTGAAATTAAAAAGCCATATTAAATTTTTTGACATTTGATGTTTTGCTTGAATTTAATACGTCAAAAAGTTTATCCATTTTATCAAGGAAATTGCAGGTATAAAAATATGAGGAACGTCAAACATATAATAAACTTTTTCATTTTTAACAAAAAAAATAGCTAGTGTCCCTTGAAATATTTAACATGTTTGCTGTTTTTAAATTATTAGACCTCATATCTGTAATTATGACACAAATTTTTAGTCCTAATAAATTTAATTTTTCGATTAATTTAATAATTATATCTTTGAGTGAGCTTGCCGAAATAGCCGAATGAGAAAAATAATAACCTAAAGGCTGCTTCCATTTTGTATAAATACCTTTTAACATGAAAACACACGCATTTAGAGCAGGTTTCAACACCTCTGTAGAGTTGCAGCCTCTAGCTGCACAAATATGCCCACCTCTTACTTTTTCCATAGTTTCAAACTTAAAAAAATAATTTGAAACTAACACGAACGAAAAACCGAAATGAACTACGCCAGTGGAGTCAAAGCGAAATCGTAGCGAAATGATCGCCGCAAGCTACTGGGTTAACCCACGACCCCTCTGCGCGCTTGGATCGGCGCGAGCCTTCCCCTTCCAGTAGAGTCTGTGAGCTGGTTAATAGGTAAGCTGTGGTCAAAGTATGATAGAAAAGTATTAATGAAAAACGTTTCATTATAATCTGTACCGACTAAAAATGTAATAACAGGCTGAATTGTATATACAGGACGACTCCAACAAAATATAATTTAATTTTTTTTAATGGGACACCCTATATATTTTTGCCATTTTAAGTAGACTTGCGTTTCCTGATAACAAATATATAATATTTTAATTATATAGTGACTTATTGCACTATTATATGAAAGCATAACACATAGATAGCTATGAAAATCATGTTTCCAAGTGAAACAGTTGTTTGTTTATTAAAAGTTGTCAATTGATTGCTTGTAATGGGTTTTACTGTGGTCGAAAAAGTTGAGGTAAAACAACAAAGCTTTTACTTGAAACTTTTTTTGAGTTCACAAGAATTATGAAAATACGTAGTGGTCAAAATATAATGAAAAACCCTGTACAGTGAAAAAAGTTTTAATATCATTTTTGTAAACATTATTGTCTTGAAATACAATATATCCGTTATTATAAAAGATATGTAACGAACTTCATTTTTTTTATTGTTTATTTATTTGTATAGAGTGTATTTTGTTTTATATTATATAATTATAATTTCCTAATTACTGTTTTATTTTTTCTTCAAGATATAAGATCGATTTGGCAACAACGTTCAGATTTTAAGGTAATATAAATACTTATAGTAATCATCTGGGAGACAATTCTACAGTAACCTTTTTGGTTAGACTCTTACTTAAAAAGATTTCAAACGGTAACTTTCAATAATCAGGTGCCGCCACTGAATCCTGTTCAACGAGGGATTCCACAAGGAACAGTTTTAGAACCAAATTAGTCCCGTTAAACCCAAGACATGATCTAGTATAACCATTGTCATCAATTTTAATAGATTGAAGATACTCTTTAAAGCCAGTAAGTCTTTTTCCCCGGCGTCTAACCGCATAAGTCCAAATAAGATAAAGTTATTATGGGATTTTTTCTAATATTACGATTGGAAAAAAGCGCCGTAGAACAATCAGCATTAACAAAATTTTGTATGGAATTGATTTTCGTCTCTTTTTTTTTTAATAGATGTAAAATTATCAGTTGCGTGTATCAAAAAATGTTTAAAACTAACATTTTATTAAAATCGGAATAATTGGTATGTTGGCGTAAAACGTCATTTCAGAAAAAGCGCATTTGTAGAAGGATTTTTCCAAAAAATTGCGAATTTGACAAGATACTAATGTCAGTAGTAGCCAACTTTGATATGAACTGTTTAAGTTTTTTCCATATGGATCCAACTTAATGACATACACTGCATAATATTGAATACAAATTTAGAGAAACGCAAAGTTATTCAGAGATGCTATCGAACAAGTACTCGCGTATTCAGGATTCTAAATGTTTCATAAAATGTAAAAGTAATTATATGTAATTAAAGTAAAGAAGCGATAAAAATCTGGAAAACCGTTGTTTTAAAGAAACAATTCAATTGAATTTAAACCAGTGATTTACGATGAAATAAAACGTTATTTTTGTATTAATTTGTATAAATTTTCCTTTTATAGTATCAGATCGTACATGAAAAGTTAAACTAGACGCGTGAGAACTGTTTTACTCCATTTTTAATCGATTTGAAACAGTTCTTGATCATAATATACTAGCTGAAGGAAAAATAAAAATTTTCACTTGTCTATAGCTCGCAAAATAATTATTTAATAATTTAATAATGCATTAATATAGGTGTATCAATATTATTTTTAATATAATTATAAATGGATAAAAAATAATCAATTATTAAACGTTAATATCAATGATACATTTTTATCTATTTATCTTTAGTATTTAAAAAAATAAACCACTTTCATTCTTTAGTAATACGTAACCGGGTCAGTCTGGCAAAAATCCAATGGCGATTTTAAAATACAGATTGTTGACTCTTTCTATTTTCATAACAACAGTGAGTGGGATGATAGTAGAATATATGAATATTAAAATAATCTAAATTACTAAATCATCAGTTAAATAATGATTAGCAAAACATATGTTAATCCAATAAACGAACTCACGTAAAAGATTCGGAATAAAAATCAAAACAAGCATCCGACCTAAATATTTTTAAAATTAAAAAATTCAAATTTTTTATAAAAATGTAATACTATATTATTTTCTTTTTGGTTTATTACACCGGTCAAAAAAGGATCAAAAATCAAACACGACCGACAGTTTGTCAAATAATCGTTTGTATAGATACTATAGACACTTTTTTCGACCTTCAACCGCACACGACATCTTCGATCAAAATGTTTATTTCCAATAAAAATGCACTTCTTATATTTTCAATCAGCGGTAAGGATGATGTAACAAATACTGTTTGTAAGTTTGGTATTTAGCATTTGATATGAATAATATAATACAATAACTCAAATTGTTAAAAATAAAATATGAAAAAGTCGCGGCGGCGCCTGTAGGTTTCCCGGTGGGCCCGTCCGCCCCTGTCAATAAACCGCAATCATTGATACTTGATAACATTGCACATAAACATACAAAACTCCCGAACAACAAATAAATCCACACCCATGAGATAAGATATATTATATCTTATTAACACCTAACTGTTTATACACGTTATCAATTATGCATACCTCGTCCAATCTCAAAAGTTCTTCAGCTGACATATTAGCACGTTCGCGTTTTTGTTTTTCTTTCCGGTCCTTTTTGTCTCGTTTTCTTTTTTCTTTCTCCTCTTTGTCTTTGTCGGAGATTACCCCTGGTACGATGGTAGCCTTTTTTATGAAGTTGAACATGGTCGAGAAGTATCCTAAAAGAAAAAAGTTCTTCGGTTAGATATATCGGTTTTTTCGGATTTTATAAAACCATCTTTTCAATAAGTATTAAAAAAAATTAAGTAACAAACCTTCATTATTATACAGGGTGTCCCCTTAGTGCGTAATTGTTAAATATTTCAATTTGTGTTACAAACACGCAAAAGAGTTTCAAATAAAGAGATATGGATTTGAAAAATACATATTTTAAGAAAAATTTTATATATACAGGGTGTTTCGTTTTTGCCTGGCAAATAAAAATTTATATTTTTTAATAGAACACCCTATATTTTATTTCAGTTTTAGAATGGATTGGTAATACTGTATTAGACCTTAGAATGTTCTTAAAAATATTGCAGGTTTTGCCAAGCAATACATTGTTATAAAAATAGAGAATGATGCAGAATCAAATTAAATTGTCATAATTTAGGTAGGTTTACAATGATTAAAAAATTGTTTAAAATACAAACTTATAAAATAGTAAACTAACGAACAGTGGTGATAAAACTGGAATATTTTGTACAGAGTGTTTTGAAACATGTCTTAAATATGTCTAATTTTAAGTTCAATTTTCCCAGTTTTTCAAATGCAACATCCTGTATATTATTTTTGCATAAAATTCCTTAGAAACTTACCTATCCAACGATAGCAACATGTTTACCAATAATACATCCGTGCGTAACTCATCGACAGCTGTTTTATTATTGAAAAAAGAAAAAAAAAATTAAATTTTATAATTATTCTTAAATATACAGGGTAGTTCATAAACGAGGAGCTGACCAAACCTATACTTTTTTAAATTAAACACCTTGTAGGTAGTTATACATATTTGACTGTTTTCACATCATCAAACAATTTTAATAGACTTCACTTATTTGCTATGTTGTAGGGTCATGGTACTACTTATGGCCACTACCCTGCTTATGGCCACTTCTTGCTTTAAGACTTAAAAATAAACGTTTAGCAACATTGTAAACAAAAATGGTGGTTGGAGAAGGTAAATGAGCATGTGGTTACATGATTGGGCAGGTTTGCAACTAATAAACCAAGTCCATTGGAAATCAGTAAAATAAATAGTTAGCATGTGTAATACATGCAAGCAGTTCTTGTGGTTTTGGCTAAGAATTCATCTGTAAACATTGGAACAAAACTTAGATTTATTACAAATATTTTTGAAAACTTTCCATTCCAAAGGTAAGTAGATGTTAATACCTAATGTATTTTGTTTTTAACATCATATTTTTTTTTAAATAAAAATAAATATCAGTGTGGCCACTAGTAATGACAAGAAATTAAGAATTCGTGAGGCTTTTAATTGTCATACAGTTTGATTCGTAATTAATAAATCAAGTAACCTATCTGTTACAGACCTTGAGTTTTACCTGTAATTATCCATATGTTTTAAACTCTGTAACCAGGGCGTAGCTAGGAAAAAATTTAGGGTACGAATATTTTTACTTTTAGAGGACCTATTTGTAGTTTTGTAAATGACCAAGGTTTCTAAGACCAATTAGAAATAGAAAAAAATGTTAATTTTTATAATAAAACCATCAAAATCTTGATTTGAGTTTGGGTATAGGGAATGCCAAACAAAATAAAAAATATAAATATTTATAAATTGGTGGTATAACATACCAGGTAATAGCATTTGAAAAAATTAAGAATATCGTAATCTCGTATTTAGGCCCACCCTGTATACATCATAACTAATGAATAAGAACAAAAAATATTTTAGGGATTTTCAGTCTATTTAAATTGTGTAACTATGTGAAAACAATCAAATCTGTTATACATATTGTTTAGTCTAAAAAAGTATAAGTCTGGTTCGCCCCTGTATATTTAATAATAATAATTGTAAAATATCGTCCTAAAACTTTTGTATTAAAAGTGTATTTATATCTCCAATAACAAAACAGCTATTTATCAATTAAGCACTGATGGGACACCCTGTATAATATGTATAATATGTTAACATGTTGATATCGTTGAATAAATAGGTAAATTCATAAAGAATTTAATGCGAAAATTATATACAGGGTATTGTATTTGAAAGACTTCAGTAAATAGAACTTAAAATGAGCAATATTTTTACATGTTTCAAAACACTCTGTATAAAATTTTTACAAAAATTGTTTCAATAAAAGTTTTGTTTGAGATGGCATTCTCTATAATTCTTGCCCTATACAAAATTTCTCTAAAATGGACCGTACTCGAGATATCTGAGAAAAAGTACAAATTTTGAATTTTGAAGATAGCAAAAATGGAATAAGAGAAAAACATCAACATCAAATTTTGGGCATAGTCAGAACACCTAGGGGGGAGGTACTTTATAGAAAGTCGTTTTTCTATTTTATGGAATATATCTGTTATTTGCGCTTGGAGAAGAAAATTATTAAAATAAAAGTTGCTTATAATGTTATTCTCTATAATTTTTGTCTCTTACATAATTTTCCTAAAATGGTCCGTATTCGAGAAATTTGACAAAAATTGCAAAAATCTAATTTTTTTAAAAAATTGTTCAAATAAAAGTTGTTTGCGATATTATTTTCTATAATTTTCATTATATGTATGATTTCTCTAAAATGGACCAAAATGGAAAAATTTGAGGAAATGTATGAAATTTTAATTTTCCTGTATTTTGGTTGGCAATGAATATTAACAGGAGTGATACAATAAGTAGAAAATAACCGGAAAAAGCCTGTAATAACCAGACAGGAAAGTCATGTGTTGGACACATCATATTTTTTATTGGTAGGAAAGTTCATTGAAAAAAAGGTTCAGGATGCCTATTTGAATCTCTACACTAATTGAAAATAGTAGTACAATATTAGTACAAAAAAAACAAAACAATGTAAATTTATATTGTTTTTTAACAATATGTTTAGGTACCTACCTATTCCACATTTTTTCTCAATTATTTACATTCACTTTCAAATTATCGCTAAATGTGCAATTCATAAGAAAAGGTTTTACCTAGGTACCTTGGGTTTTATTTAGTTGTAGTGATTTAAAAGGTATTTTAACCAAAATCTATGTCTATACCTAGGTACCTGTAGAAATTACAAAAATTGTATTTTCCTTTAATCAAGAGAACGTTATTTTGCTATGCATCGTTTTCTATACACGAAAGATTTACAAAAAAACTTTCTTCATATCAGTTTTAGTGGCAAAAAGTATTGGGCTGTGACTAAAGAAATAAACAAATATCAATGAAAATATCAATTAGAATACTTATTTGAGGTTAGGTCTTATAAATCGATAAAAAGGCAAGGCTGATAATTCACGATTACAAGAAATAAATCTGATTTTGTAAGAAATAAACAAAAATAGTAAAAAAAGTTCTAATGTTAAATAAATAAGTACAACATTTACACACCTTTCAAATACTCTTGTTTCTTGTAGGCTGAATAAACAACACACGGAAAACACCTATAACACTGACACTAATGTTCACATTATTAATCACAGTTTATTCCTTCATTAAAAAAGAGTACGAGGAAATCAAAATTCCGATTTTTTTATTGTTTTGACAGATTGACATGCACCTACAAACATTCGACGTCAACTATTTTAATTTTACATTCACTACTTGATTTACACTTATCAACTCTTGTATCATAATATTAATTCTCTTTCTCTTTTCCTCTATAGTAAAATCCATAAGTCTGTTGTGTACTTAAATTAATGAGGTCTAGAGAAACCGTATTTTAGTATATTTCTTCGAGATGGAGCCACCATCAAAACCTAAAGGGTAGGCAACATATTATGCACTAATATATAATTACCAGGAATAAAGAATTGTTGTTACTTGTTTAAAAATAAAGTAAGAAATCGAAGATAAGGTTATAATTATAAATTATAGCTCGACATAACGGAAAATTATATTTTTTAAAGGTGACCGTTGTAGAGGTATATTAGCGATAATTCAAAAAAGAAGAATATAACCTAACAACATTTGACATTTGTGTTGTTTTTGTAATGATGTTACTGTCACTAGTGTCACTATGACTAAACAATAAAACAAGAATTTTTAATAATTAATAAGTCTACTATTACTATGGTATAAATAAAGCGGTAAGTAAATAAGTAGACTGATTATTACCTTTTATCTATTATATTTGTCTAATATTATCATTATTCTATGAATGCCTGTTATCGGTTTGCTTGTATAACAAGTTATTTGTGGTATCTTTTAAATCAGTTGTTTACTTGGAATATAATGCGTCTTACCACTTAATTTTCTTAATATTAGGGGTATTTTTAAATTGTTAATAATAAAACATTCTAACATGTATTATTAAAAGTATAAATGAAACACAAATACCTCTAAAATACATAATATCCAATTAGTAAGATCAATATTAAAATAAAGTAAAATGTGATCCTATGAATAGATACAATTACTCATTTGCATGTAAGTGATATTGTTTATGATAGAATAGAAAATTATATTATGTAAAATACAGTTTATTTTCTATAACTTCTAATAGGTACCTACTATAGAAAGATTAGTTGTTCCAAAGTGTATCTTGCAATAATTATAAGAAATGATCATAAATTGATACCATTTAGTTTTTCCACCATATCGATAATCAAGTTTTGGTGATAAATATTTATGAATGAATATTTTTAACCAACTTCAAAAAAGGAGGAGGATCTCAATTCATCGGTATATATATTTTTTTTATGTATGTTCAGTGATAATTCTTTAACAAGGTGTCCGATTTTGATGATTCTTTTTTTTTTTTGTTAGAAAGGGGGTACTTCAGGGGTGGTCCCATATTAATTTGGATAAAATCTAATAAATGGGTTCATGAGAAAATCCTCAAACTATTCATTTTTATGTATGTTTAGCAATAATTCTTTACCACCTTGTCTGATTTCTATGATTCTTTTTTTGTTAGTAAGGGGGTACATCAAGGGTGGTCCCATATAAATTTGGTCAAAATCTAATAATTGGATCCATCAGAAAATCCCTAGGAAAATCCTCAAATTCTTTATGTTTTATGTATGTTTAGCAATAATTCTTTATCACCTTGTCTGATTTGTTACTAAGGGGGTATCTCAGGGGTGGTCCCATATAAATTTGGTTAAGATGTGGTGAAGGCATCTGCACGATATTAAAAATTTTTAATTTTTAATATATGTGACTTGTTAATATATTTAAGTATATTATGTTGAAAATGGGGTGTTAATACACTGCGACCTAAAAAATCTATTGTGCCCCCTTCTGTCGCCACTGCACTAAGGAAATGGCTGAATGCCTATAGCTACTTTTCCAATCCTATTTTCTTAAGGAAGTGTAGGCTTTGAAGTGGCTTCAAGTTAGGTAAATCTCCCTCTTCTATTTGATATCCTCCTAGATATAGTGCCCTTGGATTCTGGAGTGCTACACATTCAGTTAGGATATACTTAAGTAAGATAACACTATATTTACTAATGTCACTTTTGTTGAAAAAATATTATGTTTTATATAAAGGAAATAGCTAATATTTTTTTTGTGCTTGCATAGAAATATTGGCAACTTGATATTATTCTTTAATGTAAATTGATAACTTTATATGCATAAACTTTTAAAGAAATAATAAAAGTATATTAAGGAAACATAATATTTCCATTTACACATTTGTTCTGCCCTGCTAAAGGAAAGTGCTGTAGGTGCAAAAATGGCTAAAATGAGATTTTTGTTTGTATCTTACATGCATTTTGTTATCTTGTTGTTATCTATAAAAAATGGAAATATTTGTTAATTTTATTTGCCTTATGTTCACATTTTACTGTGAATACTAGATACAGGCGCAGTATCTGCATTATCAGCCCATGTATTCTTTTTATCATCTATATCAACTCTCTTTTAAACTTAGATATAAATGGTATAGCAATAACCTATGCAGATGACACCATATTAATGTTTGAAGGTAAAACCTGGGAGGCTGTAAAATCAAAAGTGGTTAAAGAGGTAAGAATTATCAAAGACTGGTTGGATTTTTAAATATATCGAAAACAGTATATATGGCATTCTCACTCACAGATGCTAACAGGCCTAACTTCAAACAGACTTGTATTGAAGAATCCAAATTCATCATCAAAGAAGTGGAAAAGCCAAATATTTGGGTTGACAAAAATCTTAAATGGACTGATCATGTTCAGTACTTAACAAACAAAATAAGAAAACTTATATATACATTTTATTTAATTCTAAATAAAAAGTTATTACACTTGATATATATTTCTTTCATTGAATCCCTAATTAGATATGGCATAATTGTATGGGGTGGTTTATATGACAATGCCCTACATCCTTTAAGTATCATTCAAAATTATATCTTAAAGATAATAAATCATAAAAGTCGTTTGTTTTCAACAACCCTCTTAAACAACGAATCCTCTCCAAACGTAAGATCACTATACTTTCACTCTGCTGTATGTTCTATTTCAAACTGAAAAATAAAAATTTTGTAAAATACTTTTATATGACCCAAAAACAAAAGAGAAGAATGCTAAATGTACCATTCTTTAAATATGATGGAAATAGGATTCATTTCTTCAATTGGGCCAAAAGTATAAAACACTTTAAGTTTAAATAAAAGTATCTACTCACAAAATATTATTATTTTATTGATAATTTATACTAAAAAAATGTGATGTGCCCAAACATGACTTTCTTGTTTGGTTATTATAGGCTTTTTCCGGTTATTTTGTACAACCTATTGTATCACCCCTGTAAATATTCATTACCAATGAATGTACTGAAAAATTAAAATGTTATACTTTTCCTCAAATTTTTCTATTATGGTTCATTTTAGAAAAATCATATAAAATAAAAATTATAGAGAATGATATCCCAAACAACTTTTATTTGAACAATTTTTTTAATAATTAAATTTTTGAAATGTTTGTCAAAATTCTCGAGTACGGACTATTTTAAGAAAATTTCATATAGGATAAAATTATACAGAATAACATTACAAGCAACATAACAGATATATATTCCATAAAGTAGAAAAACAACCTTCTATAAAGTACCCCCCAGATGTTCCGACTTTGCCCAAAATTAAATCATTTCACAGCAGGATGGAATGAAGCTTAAATTTAAAATTTGGTGTTTTCTCTGTATCCTTTCATTAGTTATCGAGACATCATCGCGAAAATAGTCAAAACGGATTCAGGAGATCCCAAAACATAAAAGTCCATTCCAATAAGGTAAATATAAAAAATATAATGGTAAATTTCAATTAATTTCATAAATTTGCCTCTATATTTTGTTATCAACTTCAGATAGAACACCTTAAGTGTGGTCTAGGTAAACATTCATATTAAAATGATAGATTGTTTTAATTTTCTTTTTGGTAATTTTTTTTTTACTGCATACATTTGCTCCAAAGGTTGACAGGTACACATTAGATTAATTTATTCATTAATTAAGAAGTTCAACACTAATTCAGGCTGCTCCAATTTTTTTAACACTTGACAAAAATGTATTTTGCTGATGTCCTTTTTAACTGCTATAAATTCTTTGTGAGTGTTATCAATGCATTTACAACTCATAACAATATTTTCAGATGAAATTAATGTTTGAACAACATACACAAATTTAAACTCCAACGAATTTTGTTTGCCACCATAAAATTGGGTAAGAATATAATCGCCTTCCTTTAATTCACTATAACTTGTTATCGGCAATTAATACATCCTCTTCATCTTCACTTTTTAATGTTTCTGACATGTCACTTCTTGAAGAGAAAACCTAGTAGAAGAATCATTTGAAGAACTTGAAGAAGACAAGAGACATCTTTTCTTTGTAGTTGTAGCCTTTTTTGTCTTTTGCTTAGATTCTGTCTTTTTTTGTTCCATATTCTTTTTTCTCTTCTCTAGCTAATTTCCATTCTTCATTTTGTCTTTCCATCTCCTTTTTGGTATTCAACTTTTTATTAAAATATTCCAACATTTGTGGAGAAGTAACAATGGCTGGTAATTTTTCTTTCCTTTTTTTCTTAACTTCAATTGGGCCGTCTTCCTTCCAAAACAAAACTCTTTTAAAAGGGGAAGGAATATTTTCTTTATGATCAGTAAATCCTTTCACTAAAGAGGTAGTTTTGAGAGGGGTGCAGTTCAGTGCTAATAGAACAAGAAGGTGTATTAATGTTTGTCACATTGTTTAACAGAGTGGTGCTACTCGTGACTTTGGAGTTGATGCTTCTATAATTATTGGTCCAGCAGGAGACATGTTTGTGTCTTCAGACACTACATCTAAGAACTCCGGTTCTTGTATGGATGCCAGTTCTTCATTAGTTGCTGAAAAAATTATATTTAGTTCTAGTCGTTCATTTATATATAAAAGTATTTTGAGGTTGGTGGTCATGCCACAATTTCCATAAATTAAATAAAGATGTGTCTTCAGTAGGCCCTTTCCATTCATTTTGACTGTTATTTTATCGTTGCCGATTTCACGTTCTAATATTGTACAAAATAGTTTGTCCTCTGCAGTTTTTCTCATATTTAAAGTTTTAGTTTCTGCACTTGGCTCTCCATTAGCCTTAACTGCCTTTGGATTCCAAGGAACCAAGCCACATTTTTTAAATCCTCTTTTTATTGTTAAATCCTTAATATGAGGAAGAACTTCTTTTAATACTGTTGCAAAATTGTACTTATTAGGAGGCTCTCCATTATGTTGAATTTTCCAATCTGCAACTTTCTGTCTCCAAATGGTTTTTAAGACATGAAATACAGATACATCCATAGGCTGCATGTGTGTATATAGAAAGTAAGGTAAGGGACTTTCCTTATCTGTATACAGACAGGAAAGTAAAATTGATGGACCTAAAAAACTTCCATGTGCTAGATAATTTGTACAGTACTCAAATTCTTTTTTAAATTTTAACAAACCGTTCTAAAATAATAAATTTTTATCAATAAAGATGATAAGCTGTATAAAATTTAGACAGTATTTTAAATTTTTATCTATACACATAAAGATACTCAAAAATTATATTTAGCTTTGATTTATTTGAATCGTAATTCTATTATTATGATTTAATTGTTATATAACTGAAAAATTATATTAAGATATAGTAATACAAAATACAATAGGTACACAAAAATATAATTTTCAACAAGTAACCCTTTTGTAATTTACAATTCAGAGCCCTAATATATTTTTTTTTGTTAATTTTAAACAGTAGAAGTCAAATCTTAGAAATAATTGGTTTTTACTTTTATAACAAACTAATAAGAGATGATTTGGTTGATTTTTTAAAAAATAAGTAACTTTATAAATATATCCTACAAGAACGCAAGATTAGGCATGTTTTGAGGATGCAACACAGTATAATAGTAATAAGAATAATTTGGTTCAAAGACTTAAGAATGTTGTTTACTTTAAAAAATCCACATTCTATTAGTTATAGTGTATTAATAAATTATTTTTCTTTATAGATTAAAATGGCTTTAAACATATCATATTGCCCGCCGAATATTTCAATTTGGGATGTCTGGGTAGACCATGGAACATCTCATTGTTTCATGAACACACTAACTTCTTCAATATTGGCATCTTACATATTAATAGCTGGAACAATTCAACTTTGTATTTATAGAAAATATGGAACAGAAGTATCGCCCAACCATTTGTCTCGATCAAAACTGTATTATGTTCAAGTATTTGTAACAATATTTTTACCAATATTAGAAATTATCAGATTCATATTACAAGCTACCGTTTATGAAGATAAAAATGTTTATGGATATATGGTAAGTAATTTTGTGGTTAATATAGAAAGATATGAGTCCCTCTGAATCTGCTTTTCTCTTTGTTTTCTAGTTTATATTGATTTGTATTATAATTTTCTTTAAAGAAAAACATACCGAATTACATTCCTTATTTAATAGATACCCAACAGACCAACAATAGCTTTTCAATCCATTGATAATTTTTACAATGTTAGAATAATTTGTTAATTGATTTATTTACATAATGAAATATAATATTTACCCATATTTTGATTGTTTTATTACTTTTTGTTCCACTTATTTGTGGTGATTTTTATTTAAGTATCATCTTTTTACAAGATATTTATATTATAATATTATTTGTGTTTCAGATTGTTTCTTTAGTGTTAACATGTCTTGCTTATCCTTATTCCCTTTGGATTATAAAAGTAGAAAGACATTACTTATTACCATCAGTGCCCACCAGAGGTCATGGTATAGTTTTAATTATATTTTGGACATTGACATTAATATCAGAAAATTTGGCCTTTTTGAATTTGGAACAAAAGAAATGGTGGTTTAAGCTTAGAAAGTAAGTTTTAAGGATATAATATTGTAGAATTTTTCTTTACTACTTGATCCTTGATCTGGCAAATGTAAAATGTATATTTATATTCTAAATATCTTCTTCCTCATTTTACGTTGGACAAAATGTCATAGTAAAAATCTTAACACTCTCCAAATAAAATACCTAGGTGATCCTTTATAGCAAAATGAAATCAGGTCGAAACGTATCTGTATAATTTAATAATAATGAATGCTTTTATTGGTCAAACTAATTAATACAAAGAAAATAAATACACAATATAAATTCAAATAGTTTGCCAAATGGCAGAGTTCAAATTCTCTAATAAAAATCAGTATGATATACACATACATCTTCTGATGTATAGATGTACCCTGCATGTTCATTTAATAATTATTTAATCTAATGCATAATATGGCTTTATGAATATGAGAGAAAAAAAATTGAATTATATGAATGAACTTCTGAGAAGAGCTTTCTGTGACGTACACTATGATATAATTCGCAAGATTTAAAAAAAACAAATAATATCCATGCTTTTGAAGATACCTATGTACTATAATTAGAGTTTTTAATAATATAATACTTTTAAATTGCTTTTTATACCGAAATCCTGAAAATTACCATGGCTGTCAACGTGTTAATATCAAAAGCACTATTCAAATTATAGCAAGCATTTTATAATAATTATTTATTAATTCCTTTTATTCTAGTTTAACTGATGAATTAGAGATGGCGCTCTTTGTACTGAGATATGTAACATGCCTTACAATATTCATGGTGGGTTTAAAGGCGCCAGGCATCATGCAAAATGTAGATTACTTCAGCCTAAACGATCCTCAACGAAACTTTGGCCCTCCTCAAGTAAGTGAAATGACCAAAAGGTCAGAATATTATAAACATAATAGTTTATTAAAAAATATATCGCTGTCCCATGTCAAAAGTGTAACATCTTCAAATCAGGCAGTTTGAGATAAACTACTTTAAAGATTTTTCTTTACTAATTTGTAATTTATTATTAAAATAAATAGAAAAATAAATATTTTGAGATATTATAGTGTTGAATTATTGCAATAGACCTTGCCCTTCTTGTTAAGAATACATTCTTATCTCAAACCCAAAAATTTTTGAGATGTTACAGTTTTGAACTGGGACACCAATATGTATATATGAATTTGAAAATGAAAAGCAAAATTAAGGAATTCTTCCTCACAACTAGAAGGTGAAAACAAATCAAACAAAAATTGAAAAAGGTAAAAAAAAAATAAACAACCCAGCAATGTTTATTTCTGTAGGTGAATTAGTTTTTTATTTTAATTTAGTTTTGTATTGTATTCCATTTTGTGCTATTTCCAGCATTATAGATTGCTGCCAAATCTATCACATCTAAATGAGCTGTAATCACAGCTTATACAATACAGCTAAAACACTCTCTTGGCGGCAACGGTTTGCGTCGATTTCGTCGCGCATCGCTTAAGCTCCGCCTTCGAAGGGAAAAGACGGTTTTGGCGTTCAGAAGCGTACTTAGGTAAGGTGTTGAGTCGTGTGTATAATTTCGTTGATTGTATAATTTCGTTGATTGTATAATTTCGTGGAGCCTATAATTTCGTTGATTTTGTTTGAGTTAAAGGTACTGTTATTATTTTGGTGACTCTTTAGCTGTGAGTAGAATGAGTTTGTGCAGTCAAAAGCTGTTTTAATAAGGGTTATACCTGCAAGAAAACATTCTTTAGTTTTCCCAAGGACCCAAACCGATAAGTACTACATTATAAGAAATTTTTATTGTTAAAAATATAATTTATACAGGGTGTCTCATTAGTGCGTTATTGTTCATTATTTTGTTGTAGACACGCAAGAAAGTTTTAAATAAAAGTTATATGGATTTGAAAAATACCTACATATTTTAAAAATATCTTTGGATATACAGGGTGTCACGTTTTTGCCTGGAAAATTAAAATGTATGTTTTTTAAATGGAACACCTTGTATTTTATTTTATGATGAAATTATTAACACCCTAAATTATTGTAAAGACGAATTGCTACAGAAAAATTTTATCAGGTATGTGTGTGGTTACCTTTTAATAAAAGCCTTGCGGATCCACTCCTGCGATACCTGTCTTAAATATAACAAAGATCACGTTGAATTAGACGATTTTTCTTTTTATTGCTTTTAAAAGGCATATGATAACGCCAATTCAGATACATTTGGAAATCTGCAACTGTCAAATGATGAATTTGTAGAACTAATATTCAATATTGAAAAGATATTTTAAAATAATTTTGAAGAATTGGCTACAAAAAATAACATTTGTACCACACTTTTAGAATTAATTAACCCAATACCCTTTAGTCATCCATGCTAACGTTTTCCAAAAGAATAACTTATTTTATTGTATGTTTAATCTCAATAACTAAAAAATATACTGACAATTAGTTTGACAGAATTGTCATTTATTTAAAATTTTAAAAATAATAGCAGTCGGTTGATCAAAATATGAACGGTGATTGGCGAATTTATTTTTTTTTGCAGTGTTCTCACTACCTAGAATAGATATGAAATATATTCGTTCAATTGAAGGCAATAGCATACTTTTTCGTTTTGTAATCTGTGCATGGATATTAGCCAATCTACGCACATACTACAAAACGAAAAATTATGTTATTGCGTTCAACTACGAATATATTTCATATTTATTTTAGGTAGTGAGAACACTTTAACAAAATTAAATCTACAAATCACAGTTCATATTTTGGTCACCCAACTCCTATTATTTAAAATTTTTTAAATAAGTGACAATTCTGTTAAACTAATTGTCAATATATATTTTAGTTGATATTAAATATACATTAAAATTTTTGTGTAGACTCGATAAATAATAGCATTTTTGTTTTTATTATGTCCACATTTAAAAAAAATAAATTTTAATCAAACTACATGATACTAATTTAATTACGAGTATTAAAACTAAAGTCCTGAAAGTTTCGGTGAAGATGAGGACAGAATATCTGCCTTCCATGCGAAAAGACCGGGATCGAATCTAGGCCGAGGACTAATTAATTTTTCATGTTTATTTTATTTTATAAATTAGTCAACTTCGTAAATTATTTTAAAATTAGTTATTTTGTCTAAATAACCTAAAATAATTTTTTAAATTTGTAGATTTTCGTTAGTGGGTCGTAGAAAAAATATACTGACCATATCGAGTGGATTGTTCATATCACAATCAGACGATTGAGTACTCCGCCTATGACGTCGTGCTCAAACTTCGTTTTTGTGTGATATGGCTATCATATCCACCCTTGTTGAACAAACTACAATTTATTTGTTTTCTTGGTTTAAGTTTTACATCAGAAATAGGAACTAAATTAATTTACTTTTCAAGTTTTCTTGTAAAAATCGATATTACTTTCTCCAAGTACAAATTTAGTACCTACCTAAAATAAGTACTAATTATGTAATATCGTGTAATATTGTAATTCAAATTTCACATTACTATAAAGTTTCAAAATTCCCTACTTCGGTATGGTCAGATAAAAATTGAATATATTATATTAATAAAAACTGTCAAAGTATTACTTCTACAAATCTGTATTTCAATTAATAAGAATACATCTAAATATAACCAATATTGTTAAAATAAAAGCACAAATTCTTTATAATTCCAAAATACCATAGAGTTCCCAGACCTCAGTCGAAGCATTCGTTTATCTAGGTATAAACCCTTTGCGCGAAGAGTAACACTTGCCAGAGACACGGGGTACCACTTGATTTGCATCCACGAGCGTGACACATTTCTTTAACAATTGAAGCCCTTGGTGTAAAAAGGATCCAAGTCACAATTTGTCGTGACTGTTTTAGCTCAAAACATTTGTTAACGAGGATTTTACTAGCCACATACAAATTATTTTACCTCTAATCCGAAAGATGTGCTATTTTTCGTAATATTTATATTTAAATAATTTTTTAATTATATTTGACAGATTTAAAACAAATTAAAAATTTAATTTCCCAAAACTTACTTAACATGGCATGTAACCAACCCTATTACGTCAAGGTTTTCAATTTTTTCAATAAAAAAAAATTGCTTAATCCGGGCCCGACTTTTCCCTTTAATCTAACACAGATAGCACCATTCCGTCTTGCTTGGTTCTAGACCGCCAGATTAAAGACGCCGACACGGAGTTGTGGAGCTGTATTGTATAAGCTGTGCTGTAATCTCTTAGTTTAAAAGAAAATGCCATACTCCACAATAGAGGTGATAGTGCCCCTCTCTGTGAACATCTTCTACACTCTTAGGTGTACCATAATCCAAAATTTTTAAACTAAACCATTCACACAATAATATTTCTCTTTATAATTCAAATAAAAAGTAATTCATTTAAAATTTGATGGAAATCATTACATGATTTTTCCTTGCTGTTTTGTAGATTATCTTTCAAAAAATCACACTACCGATATTATAAAAACTCCAACACCAGAACAAAGTTCAAAAATAAAAATATAAACACCACTAAATAACAATAAAATATAAGCTTTTTTAAAAAACTAATGTACGACACCAAGTAAAATATTTTCTGTCAACTCACTTTCTCATTCCGTGACGTCACTGGGTCCTTAGCAACCGTGATGAGGCCACGAACCGTGGGAAGTGGTGTCACTTTTTTTGTGGCATATCATCTCCATATTATTCAAGCTCATTGGAAAAATCACGATATATCTTTATGTCATATTTATGCCCACAAAATGAACTTGTTCATTATTTATTGAATCGTCCTGGTATACACATTTTTTTTTAATATTAAAGCCGATAGATAAAAGTGTCCAAATAAATCGCCAAAAAAGATGTTTTTAATTCGAAAGACTTGTTAAATACGTTTTAATTCCACCTGATAAGAAATACAGCGAAATGTTCATTCATTCTCTCCTCTCCTCATTAAAATCAGCATTATATTATTGTAATCTAAAGAAAAAGTGATGTCTTTGTGACCCAGTATGAAATTTGTATTATTTTAAACTTGCAACACGGTCAATTAATACGAAAAACACCATTATCTAAAATGTGATTATAACTGGTATTTATATATTAATGATAGTTATTAGTGATATTAACCAGTATATTGCTACTATCCCCATGTCGGGTACATCTTAACAGATTGTATTTTATTTAACTTAAGTTGGTGCCAAGAGAGACAAGTGTTGTTGTTAGTTTTACTTGGTTTTATACATATTATGGAAACTTCGGAAAAACATCTTTTTAGATTATTTGTACGGTCAGTTCGAAAAGTAAAATGGAAGGTAAGTTATATGAATTGAAATCATGTGCGGTTCAATTATTAGAATTTTGAAAAATCTAAATAATAAATAAAGAAAACTTGATAAAAAATAACTACTTTTGATTTTGATGACTTTTTTTTATTATAAGAGTATCTTTATTTTATTATTAAAAAGAAGGTGAAATATTTTTTATAATTATTAAAAAGAAGGTGAAATATTTTTTATAATTTGATTTTTTAAAAGGTAATAATGCCTTAAAAATATGGAGTGTATTAATTCGGAAAATTTAAGCACTATAGAAAAACAATTCGAAATATAATTGGCCATATATAATTTTTGTTAGTAGGTAGTCTTTGGCGAAAAGGAAAATAAAATAGATAGATTTCTGTTAAGCATTATATTTCATAAACAACTCATTGAAAATAAAAAATATATAGTATACAGGGCATAACAAAAGTTAGTCACTAGATTATATTGATAACCAACAATTTTGATTTTTTTAAAGCTAATACATGTATGTTAATATACCGTTTAGTGTCATGATACTTGTTTATATATTCCATATACAGGGTGATTAATAAAGAATGAG